AAAATGCGACAAGTGCTACTTTTGATTGGCGCACTCAGCGTTTGTAAAGTTGTAGAACTCAGCAGTTCTGCAATACCCAAGCATTAATAAGCAATTTTGTTACTATTTCAGAATAACATAAGCGAATGAGAAATAGAATATACTAAGCAGTTTTCAGAGAGTGAACATATCCTAAAAGTTAACCATTGCATCTTTTCAAGCGCCAATGCTTGATGACTGGATAAAGTCATCATGCGCAAAGTAGAAAATGATTTTTTCTACGGATTTGTAATTCGTACTACACTCATTGGTAAATTATGAATTAACAGACTTATTCTTTGAAATACTGGTTACCTCCATTTGTACATAATCTTTGCTCTATTCCATTGTAGATGACGTATAAATGAATCCTGAGATAGAAGTTAAAATTGCAAAAGACTGAAATGTCAAACTATGAAACTTTAGAGGTTAAATTTACCACTCTGCCGGTAGTTGCAACACAATTCTTATCATTAGGTGACCAAATGTATAGTCAATTTTTATACTTCATATACAAATGTAAAATAATGCTGAGTAACTCTGTTATACATTCCAAGCTTATGTATAAGATTAATGTACACGCATCCCATAAGCAACGCAACCAACTAATACTTTTACTCTTCTCACACAGTATCATCAACAATAAGGGCATGTAAAGCACAAGCATTAATTTAGAGCTAATTTTAAGCATCGCCTTGATGGTACAACCAGTCTTTACTCTGCGGGACCGCCTAACTACTCTTACCAACGGAACATAGATCGTAATGAAGTTCAAAGTCATAAACAAAACGCTGGTGTTTTCATAGTGATCTGATAATTATGACCAATTTTTACAATTTCAACATCCAGCTAGCTTGCCCATAGATGTGAGACACAACTCAAATCAGGATTGATTGCCAGTACAGGACTCAGCTGAAAATTGCTTATGCATCCATTAGACATCACTGATTAAGTATGTTCCAAGAATGACAGAGAGCTTCCTACTCTGATCAGCTAACGAGTTGAGACATGGCAGCAGATAACTATGTTATAAGTCACAAGTAAAGAAGGATCTTGGCAACACCAGTGCATGATAGACAATTGGTCATTCAGGGTATGAGTCTGGCAGTTAGTGACCAAACAGTTAAGCAAACAAGCCGTTTCAATGCAGCTGTCTCTAATCCTTGCACTCCAAGACCGACGGTTCCGTCCTGGATTGAACTCATCAGCTAGAGATAGACGCGTTGAGAGAGGAACTCGGTACATTGTGCTAGGTGGCTATAGCCACGATCACTGTGCCAATCAGCTCCGCGAGAAGCGCTTAGATTTTACTTTTCGGGTTTTGGAGCATTGTTCGCAGAGATCAATAGCTTGGTGAGCACGACGATAGTCACTAAGCGTCATGCGCCGAGTTGCACTCCCTGCTCGGCTATCTCTAACTGCGAATTCCAAAGCAGGACCAAACCGTCAGCCATGGGCTACAAGGATGGGAGAGAGCCACACCGAAACCCTCCACTTCGGTGATGGCTCCAGTGATGGTTTTGGCAAAGGCTGACTTCAAAGTCAACGGAGGCCACAACTGTGATTGCATGCAGCAATCCAAGACACATGGCGGGAGCACTAAAACCCAGAAAGCAAACAAGGATTTTCTCTAGCTGCTTGCGGGTAGTAATTTAAGTGTATTGTATAGCAAGAATACTGCAGCCTAAAATACTTATTAACGCTCGTTTTGTCACGGTAGACCTGTGCATTTAATTTATACTTTAAAAAATCGGTAGCATGATAATTGTGGCATATTATCCTTAACCGATCTTTCGAGACATGGGTGAGCATTTGTTGCTCTATTCTACTATTTTCTTCGAATAAGTGACCAGGTTGTGTATACTGAATTAACGGTTTGAGGGCCCTCTGTAACTGACATCTTTGCTCAATGCTATCTTAATGACACAAACTATTGTAGTTGAAAAGTCACAAATCACTCTCCATGGTACACTTAGCACATACTAAAAATATTTTTTACGTTACAACTACATTCTGTTCCAAGCTGAAATGGATTGTGAAAATCTCTAGCGCAATATTAACCCATACTTGAATGAACGTCATACGAATTAAAATACTAGGGCACCTAACTTGGTCACTAGTTGGCCACGAATCGTTCGAGTGCACTGGCGGAATATATGTTTGTGTTATTTTATAAATAAACGCCAGTAGTTGTAATTATGTATTTGATATTTAATGTCAGATTCAAAAATAGTACTCACTTTGTCCCCTTTGTGCTTTTATTTTAATAAGAGTGATTTTACATACGCATAAGTGCGACTTCTGGATCAGCAAGATAGGCATCAATGGATATCTCCTGTACATCAGCGTATAATGATTTCAATCCCTGTTGTCAATACAGTCAAATCTCTGAGATTTCCGAAACTACGTATTATCCGGTTCCTTACACAGTTTATTTTTATAATTTTATTTACAGCGCAAATATTGTATCAGGTTTCCGTTAGCATCAGTATCACTTTTGTGAAACCGTGCACTAACGCAAGATGAACTCTGCCAGACACTCGAAGTAGGAAGTATACTGGAAGCCGACGCCTTAATTCTTATAAATGACACTGCGGACCAGGTAGCTATAATGATTCCAGCTCTCATTATTTGGGCATAAAAAACGGGGCGAAAAATTCTTATTTCTAATAAGGCAGTCGGACAGTTTCTTAAGTCAGTGATCGAATGGCCAAGGTTCACTTCAATGGGAATCGCGGTCTACTTTGAGATTGCGCGTCGCAATCCATCCACACAACGTGTACTTCAAATTCACTTTCCAATCTGTTATTTGCCGTTGTGCCAAGCTTTGCCCGTCGTGACCCGGTGGCTTAGGGGTGGCGGTCACAACTAACATCTCAATGGTCCCGGGTTCGATGCCTGCTATCTCTATCTGATGAGAAGAAATAACCTCGAAACGCGTCATGGAGTGCAGTGGTTTCAGGCGGGCAACACCCAATTTGCTGCTGCTTCATCAGCTACGGTTCTAGTGATCGAATGGCCAAGGTTCACTTCAATGGGAATCGCGGTCTACTTTGAGATTGCGCGTCGCAATCCATCCACACAACGTGTACTTCAAATTCACTTTCCAATCCATTTTGTCTTTAGTTTTAATGTTGCACTCACGTGATCCACTTAATAGAACTATGCATGAATTGAATGGATTAGAAGCCCACTTAATTTACGGAGAAACACTGTTCTCCATGCTGAACACTGACTGTGCTAAATGACTACACTGTGATTATGTTATTTTTCCCAATATAAGACGCCCCTCTGGTTCCTCACCGCTTGAATCAAGTGACCGCTTGGTCAAAGATGTCAATTTCCTTGATGCCTTACAGATGAAGACCACTGAGTTGGCCAATCGTATTATGCTTCAAATGACAGCAATGAGGTGAAGGGTGTATCTCTGTTGCATGTGAAATTACCTCAAATGTTGATTGATTCTCACACATTTCATCATGTTGATATTGATTGGATTTCTAATGGTAGTCTAATGTAAACTAGGCGCTTATCGCGCACCCTTTCTATACAACACTGTGGAAGAATCATAATTCAAAAGAATCGATTATAAATCAGTGAAATCACAGATCGCTTTATTTGTGATTTGTTGTCTTCAGTTAGGGTTACAGTGAATAAGCGCTACGTTGTTGTTATCATTTGTGTTGTTATAATCTTGAGAAACATGGTGCATTCCTACAAATGTCACCTAAATACATTGAGCACGTAAACAAACAAATAAACGTCAAATATCACCTCAATAAGCTACAGTTGTTTCAAATCGACTCAGGAGCGTAATTCTCGCGTTTGCATCAAATCTCCTAATCAGCTTCACAGGCATGGTGCCCGCATTGTATCCACGGCAGCGCTCAAAATATCCAGAGATCTCATGAGTTGATAATTCAAAAGGCGTATATTAAAAGCAAACATGGAATACTGCATCGGCGTTTCTTGCAGTTAACATCCTAGGGGAATAACTACTGCCTATGATATTTCTCAGATTATAATATGCTTATTTACGGCCGATAGTTATTTAGATTTTCTTTCACAAATTTTATGCTAGACATTATGGGGCAGTGGATATTTGATCTAAGAAAACATCTTTCCGGCCACTATCATCAGTTTATTTTTCTTGCGCACCGTTTCCATTCATATAGACGTAAAACTAACTTGGTTACCGACCACTTGAGTCAGTAATCCTTGAAATGCTGAGTACTGAGGCTGGGCTACTAAGCACGTACTACAGTTTAAGACGACCATATGTGCGGCCAGGAATTGAACGAAACCACGTCTTGCGTTCCCCACGGAAAACAATAAGCCCATAGCATTTTTGTGTTGTGGCATATCCTGATACATACGATAAAATCAGACGAAGAAGCAGTTTGTAATACTCACAAGGTTGATTATTTATTCGTATAACTAGAAAACAACTAAATAACCGTTAATACTTGACAAAAACGAGCCAGTATGGCGTGGCATGAATAGTGAAATGAGGTTTGCTTGTAATGTTACTCGTAAAATTCTGCCATCAGTTAGTTGGCGGTAGTAGTTCAGAGTGCAATCTGTATGGTTGTCTATCAGCGCTAGGTTTTTTTCAAGAAAACAAGAAAATATCTGCTTATAACGTAAATCCTGAATCCATCGGTTGTACCTACCACAACCACCTCCAATTGTCAAGCATGCAGATCCGCGGCTGTCACCCATGGCAAAGTGGCACTAACTGCATGCATCCGGAAGCCATGGGGCGGAAACCGGCATGGGTCGGCTAGAAGGCCCACCAAAGAAGGTCAAACGACCGGTGTCTTGGGTTTTCGCAGACTAACCTATGCTTGCTGACTGAGAGTAGACATTGATGAATTATCTGTAAGCCACAAAAGTGTACGTTCAATAGAACAGCACATTTACGGGTCCACAATTTCAGAACGTAAGAGCAGCAAGCCCAAAATTGAAGACAAGCATTTGCTTTAGTCAGGCAACATATACAAGACTAATTGCAGCGTTTTAGGGAGTTGACTTGCCTCTTGGCGACATCGGCGTTTGGCAGTTGTGTCGAAGTTGTATATATCCATGGCAAGATCGTCTTGCGAAACCTTAATGATGAGGATTGACACATAGGCTGAAGAGTGATAGGAAAAGATTTTAGCATAGGTAGAACAGTTCACAAGCAACCAAAACATTTTGTCGCAATTTTAGATGCATTAACTGCTAAACATACCTATATCCCGTTATACGTCTCAAGGTTATTTTCGTCAACATTCGATTAATTCCACTCTTATATCTAGTCTGCCATGTGAAACAGTATCTAAATGATTCTTTATGTATTAAGTATCCGGTAACTGAAGGCTGCAATAGTAGCAATTTAACCATGTAGCAAGCTAAATGTGGAATTTTGCTTCGGTCTGTTATTGAATACCCGGGCAACCCATCCTGATATTTACTAATTTTCAATAATGCGAGCTAGTATATTCGTTTCCAAGAAGAACTTGTAATAAAGGATAGATGATACGCATGTTTAATGAGGTTGCTTCAGGCTGGTAGAACACGTATTATATGCCTCCTGATTACTAATGGTATGGGGCCAACCTGTGAGGGAGACCCTGACTAAAAGCGCACGCGACTGCGTGCTAACATGTTTATTTCCAATGTAAAAGAACAGCTAGGATATTAAAACACTTACTCCACGTATTCACGCTAAGTTTAAAACGGTGGCTGGAAACACAATGAGATCTAAGAAAGCACAATGTTCCTTATGAGTTTGATATGGACAGCAGCATATTAGCACAGCTCAATTTATTGTGTAGAAAGCGAACGTGTGCTTACAGAGTTGAGTCCTTTATTTTTCCTTTTTGACTCGCCCGCTAAGGTGATTCTAGGTTGTGAAGTGGTTTTGCATTCGACTGATTAGAAAGCATCGTTGTATAATATGTTTCTCTATCCTCGATGTCAATGTTTCATGGGCTGGAACAGCTGTATGAGCTTATGATGGAATGCGGGAATATTTCTGTAGAATTGCCGTCTATTCGATTAGACGAGGCCTTTAAATTAGCCGTTGCCACTATTGCGCTATCTACTGCAAACGTATCAATATGAGTTGAATCTTTTGATGAATTAATTGATTGGACAATTTCGAGGTCCATGAGGTCGCCCAACTTCATCGATTCTTTGAAAAATATCTGAGACACCGCGCAAAACACGATTTGCTGCTTTTATCCAGTTGAACCGCGCTATCAATAAACGTTTTAACAAATGTTGGCCTCGTTAATTGGAAGAGAAAGCTTAATATTGGTCCCATTAACGTGTAGTCGTTGTTCAAAGATTCAGGACTGTTTAGTTAAGTGACATATGTGCACTCTTTACACACACTGTTATTAAATTTTTAACATTCTCATCTTTACTGATGATATTTGTCTCACCTTTCTTGTAGACAGTGTAAAATGCATCCACCTGGGTGCATAAATAGTTTTTGCTTGACTTGACAGATTTGACTATTCAAAAAGTTCAGATCCATTGACTTTTTCACAGAGAGTCACATAATTCGTATTAAACCGCTATCAATCAGTAGTAGGCAATAGCTATGATCCTTCAGCTGAAGAAACATCGCGCAAAATGCTCCGAAGATACTATCGCTTAAACACGGCTTGTTCCTATGGAATAGTTGCTTAAGCAAAAAACATCTGGCATTTGCACTCAGAGCCGTCTTCCTTCCAAGATCGAACTGGATCAAACACCCTTTTCATTTTATATAGCAGCATAATTTTCGCACGCATTCATCTGTCTATATTGACTAACCACCGGCAACTAGTAATTCATCATTTGTTACACAGAATATGATCCATGCAGTTGTTTTAACTACGATAATATATTCGGTGGTCTCTTCAAAATACAGTGTTTGTCTGCTTGGTCCAGCCTAACGCGTGACCGTATTGAGCATGAAAATGGGAAATAAAACACCGCATATCACAATGAATAGCTCATTTGCATAATCTAACGTCGCTGCTGGCAACGAAATTGTCGCAATTCATGATCCAATTAACAACAAATGTCCACACTAAAAATAGGTCTCAATCTAGCGGAATAGACGAGAAGGAACTTAGCTGAGATTTCACACATTAACGATTCCATAACAAATCAAATGTTTTAAAATGCAGCGGGAACTAGGGATGCTGTAATTGTGTCTAATATAAGTGTATATCTGGTGACAAGGAGGATTTTGGGCAAACCGACTTGTTCATCCCAGACACTAACAAGAAATACAATCTATGCACCAAGCCCGAAGAGCACCAGGCGATCATTTTGCTTTATTTGTGCTCGTCAGTGGAGGGCATTCTATCGATTCCTTGCAGGAAACCATGCTCGTAACCGTTGCTGTAACTAGCCAGCAATGTAATCCACTGAGCTACCGGTGATGGTGGTTGACCGTAACAACTTAGAAGCTGCTTCGGAGCTAACACAACCGAAGGAATGAATTAGTAGCGCAATCTGACTAGTTAATTCTCAAATGGCTTTATGCATCTGTAAAATATTAGCAAAGCAATACGATAAAAACGGGTAGAAAAGGACAAAAAACAATCAAGTTAAACGTCGACTGGTGAATTCAAGCATGTCAGAGTTAGGGTCTCGCGAAGACGCGAGTGGTAAGAGATGACTGACTAGCGGGAGGCTTGTGTGCGGTCATAGATTAACTTGTACTTCTGCCTAGTAAATGAAATTGATAAACATTCAGTTAAGGCAATATGTAGGGGATGAGTTGTATCGGTCAGTATCTTAGAAGCCAGCTTCTACAAGAACTAATGTGTGTAGAAATAACAGTTTTGCTAAAAGTAGATATCGTAACACCGCTACATAGGGCTAAGTGCTTTAATGATCTGATAATCTATTTAAAATGCATACCAAAAAGTTCAGGAAAGATCACAAGGGAATCGTATGACTAATGGGTAAGGACACAGGCACTGACAAAGCAAACGATCAACTCACGAGGAACGCAGGAAGTTCTGAGCCGTGGCATAGAATGACAGCCTTCTGACTTTTCGGAAAGTTTCAGTTACTTGAAGCGTTCAGTATAACTCGTCACACTAAGATATTTTACTGATGTGCAAGACTCTAAGCCGTCGCCATCAATCTGTAACTTCTTTCCTCGTGTAAGGAGCTTCCTGTACCAAGCTACTTTGTGTAGGGCGAAAAGAATATAATGGAGCTTTGAAGAATTGTAAGACGGATTACTGGATTTGGACCAGCTATTAAGATTGTTCAGAATGAACAATCGGTGCAATGGAGATTGATACCCAGGATGATTTCTTCTGCATACTTTAGAAGTGACGCTTTAGTTGGGGCTGTCATCGAGCTGACGTAGGTTGAAAAGAGACAATCGACGGAACCGCTCTCCGAAAGATGCCTGCTTTGGTGAGCACTGGGGAGGAACGTCTGCCACTGAGTCGGGGGATCTGAGTGCTTTCAGCAAATTAATCCTTCAGTAAATAGACAATGGGGGTGTACTCCATGATTAAGTAGGTCCTCTAGCAGTAATTCGCGATCTACACAGCCAAACGCATTGGTGTAATCAAGGAATACACTATTGAGTACGAGGTAGGCCAAGGCATCTAGGGTTGACGGCGAACTACGATAGGCGAACTGGAGGGTGTCCTTTGAGCGCGTTCTGGATGGCGTTATTTCCAGAATGACTTTCTCAAGAAGCTTCAAAGCAATGGAAGTGCACGCGATAGGTCCATGTTTGTTGGATCATTTTTTCGGCACTGGTTTAATGTTGGCAGTTCTCCAACAGTGGTCTATTTTCTGTTGCTGCATACACATTGTATATATACTCTCAAGAGGTGTTTCCAAATAATCGGCACATTCTTTGACTAACATAGGACATGGCATGTCCGGCCCACAAACTTTACCGGAACGTAGATGTTTCAGTAGATTATTTACGGTTTCACTGTTACTGGGAGGAAATGATTCAGCAGACCCCAACACCTGGGCACAGAAAGACTCCTGAGCTGTAGTAGTATTACACGTTTAGAACTCCTGATTTAATTGCTCTACGTCTACATCAAAGTAGGGCGATGTTCGAGTAATTCCGTTAAGCGTTTTCAGCCTCCTCCAGAGTTCACGACAACTGACGTTCCCAAGAACAGACAAGACATACACTGTGTGAAGACGGTCTATCTCTTCCTTCATACGACCTGTGAGAGATCTTACTGAGATGCCTTCGTTTTCTTAAAGTGCTTTCTCCTTATGTCAGCGCAGCCGCTTCAGGTGGGGGAGGAAAACCTGTCAGCGTGGACGTAAATAGTTTCCAAATGGCAAAAGATATTGAAGCAACCGTTTAAATAGCGTGCCAAATTATCACAATGCCTGAATAATTCAGGGTTGCATAACAAACTAACTTCCGTCGATGCGATGGTTTCGCGAGGTCTGTCGAGATTTCATGGACAGAACTGTCTCCAACTGATCCTTTGATCATTGTGGCGAGTTATTTTTTAGTGGTTGTTCTTGCTATAGATGACAGTTGAAAAACTGATAGTTGAGTTATCAGAATTACCAATTAGAGCTCAAGTACATAAGGGGAACCACTACAAACTAGTAAAAAGCACCAGGTCCAAGATTGTGTTTGACCTTGTGGGCTGATCGACGATGTTGCGCAACCCCAGAACGGTGGGGAAAGTGGTGTCACATCTATTGAAATCTCCGATGAAAATACATAGAGAACGATCGAGTTAATCTATGACAGCTGAAGCAAATTCATCATAGAAATTTTTAGTTATAGGTTTGGGACACGTGGGAGATGTGTAGATGTTAGCCAACAACATAGAGCGGTAGCCATACAAACAACTCGGCTTACATTGTATGACTAAACATTTGGCACACTGTGAGGAAAAGCAAAGAACACGTTTCGACGCAATACACCATTAGGAATTGGTGTAAATAAGTATTCCACCACCTCGGTTTCGATACGTGCATAGGCGGTCAACCGGATGACAAACAAATTCTCCAACGGATACGGCTGCTTCATCCACTACCTCATGGAGTCAGCTTTCTTACAACATAATGATTCAAAAGGGCTAAAACTATTTTGAGAAAACAATCTTTAAAAGTTCATTTGATTTCCCCATGAGT